GAGGAAGGATCTCGTTCTAGGACATTATCAGATAAATCATTTTATCTAGTTTACTTCGTCTTTTCATGGATTAGATGACCACATCCAACAGCAAATTTTAATTTTAATTTACATACTCGGGAGAGGTAAAAAAAAGTTAAAAAAGCAATTCCGAAAATACATTTTCGCGATTTAATTCACACAGCGGTTCAGTTAACACACATTTGGAACAATTTCAACAATCAATCTTAACTTTTTAATTTTCTATCATTTTCATGACTGTTACCGCCATTGTCAGACACATGTCCTCGCCCTACGTGTCAGAAAAGCAGACATTTGCTATGTTATTCACAGTCGGACAGATTCAACGATCAACTAATCGAAAATATTCAATAATCTCTCATTATTATTAGTTTATTCCGCCTTTTCCGAATCTTTCTTACAGCGCCGTCCCCGTCTTTCACAGCTCCCAATTCCTCCCCGGCCGGCCCTTTGCTCCGCTCGGCGATAGGGCCGGCCCGTGCAGCCCTCTGCCCGTCCGTCCGCGCGTCCTTTTATTCGGCGCGTCCATTTATCACGCGCGCGCTCCGCTCCTCCTTTTGGTTCGGCCCTTCCCCGTTATTTTTCTTGTTATCAGCGCGGGGGCGCCGGCGCTGGCGGGTGAGGGAGACGCATTTTGACGAAATGGGGCCGCGCTGATTGGAGCGGGCCGCTCATTTTTAACGCGCGGTCGTCCGGGCGCCCGCCCTGGCCTCGGCGCGATCAGGCGGAAGGGGTAGCTCCTGGGCGATCGCGCCTCTGCATGCTGCGCCGCTAGGCCGACGCTCGCAGGGCTCGTGTGCTCCGCCCAACGGCAGGCTGGGCTTTCATCTTGGAACACTTCTAGCGTGCACTGTCTATCCCGTTACGTCATCATTCGTTATAGTGCCTTGTAGAAAAGTTGGCTGTTTCAAGGTCGTCTTCAAAGATCATCCCACACTACTCGGATTGGCGTCGCCCGTCTTTTCATTATAATGCTATTCAAAAGCGTGAAAAAATATTATAAACATAAAGGGGAGGATCGAATTCTAATGAAGGTAACAATTTTTTTTTCTCTGCTAATAAGCTCAAATCCAGCATGTTTATATCTTGCTTGCTTTAAACCCAGGTGACTCTCTCCCGAAATTCATATACTATTACTTGGAAAGCTAGAAGCTCAGCTGGAAGGGCGGCCCCAACCCAGGCATTGCATGGGGAGGTTGCCGTGAGCGCAAACTGCGTTCCGGCGGAATCCGTATACCAGCCTGTCGGCGTACTTGTGCGCCGGTGGGGGGTGCGGATAAAGGCGAAAAGCCAAAGGTGCCCACTCCAGGGACTTGTGCTCCCAGGTAGAACATAAAGACAGTCGGAAGCTTACGTACACATAAAGACAGTGCGGAGTGGTAGCCCCCGCAGGGAAAACGATCGCCTTTTCCTCCACTTCGCCTATGTGCACTTGAGAGCAGTCAACGGGTGCTCGATTTTAAGGCTGCTACTTTTCAGATCTTTTCTTTCACCGATACACGCACGTTCTTACTGTACATTAAGACAGAGCCGTTTACAAGTCGAAAATTGAACGATGTAAAATTCAGTCGTTAATTTAGTTATTGGCTCATTGGTAGCACTACTGGCTGTGCGATAAAGGGCAGACCTATTGTCGCAATGGTACATGGTCGTGAACGGAGGTATTACTAGCTATGAATGGGTTTCGAACGTAGATAAGAGATGTCATTAAGCCTTGAGGGTCTATAACATGGGCGGCCAGCAGGTTACTCATGCGCCAAACTGAATTGGACAACTACAAGTAGTGCATTGCGACCTTTCATTTCATTGCACCTATCATTTATAAATTCCTTAGGTTCATTACATAGGGAGCACCGTAAGGGTAACTAAATATGGTTTAATAGTTTTTAATATCGGAACGCCCACAGTTGCCTCATCATATTCAACAGATTTGATTCAAAGTTATTTTCACCATATGAGAATTTGCAGCAGCGGGATCCACGACAATAACGCCCTGTCGTCCAAGAGTTCTACATTACTAATTTCAAAACATTGCAAAAATATGCGCAAAATGTGAAGAAAATAAAACTATTCAGACTTCAGCTACGAGACAGGATCTATGGTTTCGTTATACCCAAACGAATAATACCAAAACAAACCCAAATAATTACCTTCAAGAGAAAGTTATTAGAAATTGTACCAGTATGTACAATGTGCGTGACAGTAGATAATGTCTGTTTGTACATAACGTCTGTTTGTAGTAATTGTTGCACGGTAACGAGTATGTTCGACCCACGGCTGTGCTCTATTTATAATGTGAACGCGCTCATGGGGAACGATCCTGTGTGCTGCGGGGAGAGGGGGAGACAGGGCAAAACGAGTCTGGAGACGAGAGGGACGGGGCGCGGGAGGAAGATCGTGGAAGGAGCAGGGTCAGCGGCAGGGGCTGGGGCGTCGATTGTGCGCATGATGCAGCGCAGCCACAAATCTCCGCCCAATCGCCCTTTGCGCTGATTGCGCCGCGCGCCCTTCATTTGTCCCGCTCGCCACGCCCCGTCTCCCGGAGCGTCGGATGCAGCGCGCGGCGGCAGGAGGAGGCCGATGAGAACGAGACGGCACGCCCCTCACTAACAGTTCCTCAGGTCACACTGACCATCAGACTAGGTGGAATTCAGGCGCTTAATGGAGGATAATTCTAGCCGCCCGTGGCTCTGATCGGTATTTTTTCGTGGTTTCTCCTCGATCAACACCAGGAGATTGTCGGAGCAGAACCCTAACAAACGGGCTACGGACCACGCGCGATTTCTCCTTCCTCTTCCTTGTCCTCTCCTCTCGTTTCACACACACAAACTTACATGCACTACATTACTTCGCAGTCAAGTGACCAGTCGAGAGCTTCAGCTGGACCTGGCAATTCCGGTGCCTTGCTAGGGGGAGGTACCTTGTGGGGAAAGCTCCGCAAGCCTATGTGTAGGTCGGCCCCGAATCTCGCTATACAGCTAGGGTAGATCACAGCCACTTCCCGCGATAAGAAAATGCACCACACTTACGGACTGATTACCTTATCGCACCCGTAAACACTAATAAATCAAACACACTCTCGGTCGAAGTACAGCCTCCACAGGTCACACGTGGCTTATCAATCGTCGCGAGGGCTTATTCGTCCGCGACTCGTAACACTATTGTTCAACATTGCACTGCTTTTTCGAATGCGTTACCGGCCTGATAAGTTCAATAATTATTCGCACGGTGGCAGAAAAAATAATTTCACAAAGAAAACACAACTATTGACAGTACCGTGGCATATCCCAATAATACAGAACACTACACGTGTCATACATCCGATGTCAGTTTCTGCTAAAGAGTCGTACTTACCACCAAGATGTGATTCAATAAGTACTAGTAAATATTATTTGATCCGTACAAGATATCAAAATGATTTCTTTTTTGCATTGGATAGTTGACGCACGGGCGCATAAAAAGAATAAAATATATTCGTTCCCACTCATCACATATTACTGCAAAACAGCTTATGGCCGAATGGCTACCAGAATGTGCGCTTCATGCGGAAATGCCGGATCTTCTGCTACTAATAGTGAACTCATGGACAAATTTTGGGATCACAACACAATCTAACGACGAACAATGACAACCAACAGACGAAGCTGGTCGACCCCTAGCAAAGTGGTCACAGTACTAAATGTTCCAGTCTATTCATTATCTCTGTGGATTTATTATTTACTTATTGTGGTTTACGGGTCCTTCAACTACTCAGGTCGTTGGATCCAATAACTATGATATAAGTAGACGAGCACTATACTGATTATGAAAACAATTATGGAAAACAGTGTAATGGGAAGCAGGGGAAACGGTAGAATCCCGAAAAAACAAACACACCGAATTCGCTTTGTACACCTCAAAGGCTATAGCGGAATAATAATGTAAAATAAGCCCCCAAGCAATTCTAAAGAACTCTTCGTGGAAAATGGGAGCGTAGGCTACCGCGTTCAGAATCCATTTGACAAAAAAAGTGTCTTTTTACATTTTATTTTGCACTGCATACGGTAATTTTTATCATTACTATTGGGTAGGAAAGACTTTCTAAGCTCTCAATAATATTTACAAAATAATTTAGGTAAATTTAAATGTCTAGTTTAATCGTTTTGTAACCTATTTTAAGTGCCAAAAACTACACTTTTCATGCACAATACTGCCTAATTACATAATTTGGTTGCCTATTTCAGGTGCCTAAATCATCACTTTCTTGTGACTAATTCCGAGGTATATTAATGACACAGATCCCTCTGAATATGGGGAAATATAAATTAGTAAAGTTCCTCACTAAAAGCGTAGTTTTATGAACATGAAATCACAGCAAGCGAGCGCTTTTTGAGAGTGTATGAATTAACATCTCTCAGTACACATGTACGAGGTTTTGCGAGAATTAAGAAAAATGTACCTTATAAGACATTCACATTCAACACTAAGTATTGGCCCTATAATCTCTAGGCAGCGATAAGAAAATTAAATTAATTTTAATTAATTTAATTATTTTTTTTCCATTCATTCCCCCGACAGTTTATGCACGTTAAGCATCACTGTCGCTCATAATTTTCAATAAATACTTTGGTCGTTCAAACAGCAAGGGTGGGATCGTAACAACTTTGTCGTGAAACATCTCAACGCGAAGCAAACCAATTCAACACATCGCACGCTACAGTGCAGCCATTTCAACAACGAAGCTGTAACAGCTTCCAGAGACACCGCTCCAGGATATTCAAAACAGAATTCCTCTCGCAGTCACACGGCAGTAGGTTGAACGAAAGCAGTAGCTTGAAAGCAACAAAAGAAAGAGTATTTGTCTTCAGCAGATCAATCAAAATAGCGTTTTTTTACAATGCCGTGCTTGCGCAACGCTTTTTAGCCGATTTCGTCCTGCAAGGCAGAACCGAGCGAGGGGCTGCGACATGAGCGCTGCGCAGATGCGGAAGCTGGCTTACCTTGGAGCCCGAGCGCGCAATGGTGCCGAGGTTGGCGACGAGCTCCTCGCGCGTCATGCCCACGCCCGTGTCCTGCAGCACAGGGGAGACCACTGTCAACACAACTGCACACAATATAACCAAATTCGTACTCATCAAAAGCTATAAACTAATGAAATAACTTCGTAGATTTTCTCTTACAACTTGTACATGTTACGTAAAATTATAATGAATATTTTGCAAATTACTTAATTTTGAAATTTAAGCTATCACGTACAAATCGCTGAAGGTAAGACAGTCAACGATGTGCAACGATGTCAACGACAACAAATATTATATTAATTCACTGAATCACTATTCACTTCGTTAACATACATAGCCACCGAAATTTCCAATCATCAACGATTGGAAATGTCCTTGGCTTCACAAACTGTTATCCTCACACTCATTAACGAACAATTTCTGAGAGGGCGGGAGCTAGTGGAATAGTGGGCAGTGATTGTTGATTAATATCGACAGGTCAATTAGGCTTCGAGTAATTCAGGAATGAAGCTGGACGATCCGGGGAGAGGGGGGAAGGGATGGATAGTGTGAGCGGACGAGGCTGGGAGGTAGTAGGGAATAAATACTTTCTATTCATCTTTGCACCATAGATGCATTCATACCTTTTCCGATCTAACAGACGACTGTGACAAATAAATGCCGCAGCGGAAAAGCTTGCTCGTAAGATAACAGAGTCGGATTGCCCGCCAGCATACTCGAGTTTATAGTGACGTAACCGGAAATTTCGATTGGTATGTACGCTAGGTTTCGTCTTCCAGAGCTGGAGGCGGGCAATGGTGAATCGGATGCCAGGCCGGCGCGCACAGCACACCCTCGTGTGGACGGCAGCAATAGTGAGAGGGATTACCCCTACCAACATTTAACTTTTATGTTAACAACTTAACCTTACCAACATACGTAATAAATTCACTAAACCACTCGCTGTTTCTCTGAAGAGGATGCAACACATGTTAATTGCTACGGAAGTGCCTCGCCACAAGTCGAAAATAATTTTTTTTAATGAAAATAAAATCGAAAGAGCGAAGGGAAAATAAAAACAAACAAACAATGTTTTCTGCACCAGTGACGGTGGGAACAATTGGAGAGAAAAGAAAAAATGTTGGGAGTTCCTTAATGCCCACCTGACACGTGTCGTGAGTTGATGGGGGGAGGGAGGACCAAGCAACTCGCGTAGGGAAAACAGAAACAGCGAGTGGTATATGGAATTTATTACGTCACTTTCCTAGGTAGCGAAGCCTTCCTACAGAGCGGGTGGCGGCGCAGTAGATGCCTCCGGCATCTCAGCTGGTAAGGAAAGAGGGGCGAGCTACGAAACGCTCGGACAATCACTTTACCCTCGGCGGCATGTTGCGAGGGCCGGAATACCATATCGCGACAGAACAGTGCCGTGCAATTCCTTACCTGAATGGTGAGAGTGCGCGCCTGCTTGTCAGTGGCGAGGTGCACCTCGAGCGGGCGCTGCAGGGCGCTGGCGTCCAGGCGCTCCCCAGCCCCCGCTCCCGCAGCCGCCCCGGCCTCCGCTTCCGCCCCCTCCTGCAGCCGCACGTAGCGCAGCTTCTCCAGGGCGTCGCTCGCGTTCGAGATGAGCTCGCGCACGAACACCTGCACACACACACAACGCAGTTGCTTTTAGGCATTTCATTTTCACACAGATATTCTAGGGACCTGCAATTTGGCACTATTACATATTACATTCAACTAGTGGAACTCCAAAACTGCTCACACTTTCCCGTGCTAGTTCAATTCCTTATCTCATTTAGTCTGTACTATCTCTCACCCTCTTCTCAGCTTCCATCTATGCTATCATCAAGGACATTTTCTCAATTTTTCGGTCCCCTAATGGTAGAATACAAATTGTCGTTAAAAAATTGAACCTTCATTTTACAGAAAACTTGACTTTCCCACACATTTCATACTTCATTTAAAACTCTTGCACTAACAAATACTCGTACAAGAACGTATACAAATCGTTGGTAATGTAAATAGTAATGAGAGACAGAAAGAGAGACAGAATGAGAGATAGTCAAAATAGTTACATTTTTTATAAGCACAATGACGTTCACATCATCTGTTACAGTGCATTCAGCAGTATACCTGCAAAATGGTCATTTGTAAGTCAATAATATGTTCTATATGCCACCCTGCTAGAAAACATACAAGTTTTTTTTAAAACGTGCATGACATTAATAAAAGAACAAATCGTGGAGACAAAAAATCATTTGTAAAAATAGGTATCCACAATATTGTAGTTGTAGAAAGACGCCAAAAAATGCACTTTCGTAATTTTTACACATACTTTCGTAATTTTTTCGAAAATTCAGAGTTAACAGTGAAAATCGGACGTAGTATCTCATCCTTATAAGTGTATTTCACTGTATTCTTACAAGAAATTTAAAGAAAAAAAATTGAGTCGTTTTTGAGAAAATTTTAAAAACGTCTCCGGCGTTTCGTGTAAAGTACCCCAAAATTTAAAGAATATTTTCAAAATTTCAGTGCTTCGAGCCGGGCCAGACCGAACGGAATATGAATTTTGGAAAATATTCTACAAATAGTTTGGAGCTAGTATTGTTCACAGGCTAACGTAAGTTTTGATGAAAACAACCTTTTTTTAGTATCAGGGGATTCTGAAATTCGCATAGACTCCAAAAATTGAAAATTCGAATTCGATTTTCCGCAGCATAATATTCCTCTGTACTACGTATCTTACGCCGTGTGTTACAACATATACAAGAAAATCATTACACAGAAACTCTCCACTATCTGCATCACAAAGAGCTTGCGATTGCACATGCGTTGGTTTAATAGACTCATAATAAGTAGGGCTCACTTTACAAGGAAGAAAATATGATGGGTATATTATTAAGAATATTCGTTCTTAAGTCTTTGGGGGTTACACACAAATATCTCTAAAATATTGCCAATAGGGTTACAAATCTAGGGTTTTCCTTCATAGGAAAGAAGACTCTAAGCTTTCATTTCTGGCAAGAAAAAGCTCTTTTCTCAAGATTCTTAAGCTTTCGTCTCTCCCTTCTCAATGGCGGTAAATAGACACGTAATATAGACATAGAGAATATTTCTGAAAACGAATCGTTTTCGAATAAATTATATAGTTCTTGAATTATGCATTTTTGTCTCGAAAATGCTACTCGATTCAAGAAGAAATCAGGAAGATTTTTACCTCACCAGTTCAAAATATACAAATAAGGGCGATTTGTTGTTATTGTTATTATTGTTATTGTTATTATTATTATTATTATTATTATTATTATTATTAGTGTTTTGAAGTGGTGAATTCAAATTGCATTATTGACGCCTTGAGAAAGGTCAGAAAAAATAGTAATTCTTTCACAATACTGTTTGAATCTCAAAATTCATACATTAACATTCAATTTATATCTTCTCTCACACCACTTTCGCCGTAAAGCGAATTAATTGTAATGCTGCAGAAAAAAATGGCGATTTTTCGACAGAAAAACTCCTTTTCTTGAACTCTGATACTGACATAATGGATAATAGTTATTCCAATATAATTTCCTGTAATATGTTTTGTACTCATAGACCACGTTTGAGGGTATACCTACTTCTATATCAAGGGATACAGAAAAAATTGTTCACGACAAATCGTTTGTTGGTCTGTCGGCGAACAACGCTAGTGGCTCACCCATGACAGAATTTTTGAAAAATCGATATTCTCAGATTGAACTTTCTGATATCACGACCCCTTGAACTTGAAACAATGTTTTGAATTTTTGGGTTACTTTACATGACACCAGTGAAAATTTTCTCAAAAATGGCTCCATATATTTCCTTTAGTTTTTCACCGCTGGAATAAAGTCCGCTTGTAAGTGTAACGCAGGTTCGATTTTCGTTGAACCTAATGCAATTTTAAAATATTGCAAAAGTTCAGCTCTTTCCTATAGTTACAATCTAAGGATTTGCATTTTTTTCTAAATGAAATCTGTTCTGCAAATTCAAATCATATAATGCCACGAACAATTGTTTCAAAATATGAGTATTTTTCGCGTAATGTTGCATAAAAAAGGCAATTTTATAAAAAAAAACTTTTCTTAAACACAGATTGAAATGGTTCCCCATTTGCGTTGATCTCTCTGATGATAGAAAATCGCAAAAGTTACAAAAAATGAGAGAAAGCATGTGCTGTTTTAGCATCTAGTTTGACACTTGACACTTGCTACAATGTTGGCACAAATTCAATCGATATATCCGAGAATTCTTGCATTGGGCACTGACCAATACCAAGTGAATGCCGGAGCAGTACCCTAACGCACAATCCGCGGATCGCGGGATCTTTTGTTCACGTTCTTGACGCGTCCTTTCCCCTTACACACGCACACGCACTCGCACACGCACACACACATATTATCGGTTCTACCAAACACGGGAGACGAGACGGAAGCTTAGATTTTGTTCCGGCTGAGGGTGATGTTGATAAATCTGACGGAGATATTTGAGAGGAAAACTCAGAAAGCATTTCATGCAAAATTACGCTAGCAACTTTTTGGGGAAAACTCTGCAAGCTGACGAGAATGTCTGCGACGGAGAAAACCGCCACCTCGAGGGGAACAAAATGCCCTACACTCACAGAACTAGTGACTTGAGTAGTTCACGAACCCGGAATCAATGAACGCAATATATCATAATTTAATACAGGAAAAATAACGTAGGAAGGGGCGCAAACGTGTTTCTTTCATGCTCTAACAGGGGGCACCCGCTTGCAAACGATATCAAGTGATCCGTTTAGGGAGGGAGCCGAGGAGCGCGCTCCGCTCTTCATGAGCGTAATTGCGCACATGAGGAACGCTTGCATGGAAACGAGCTGGGCGAGCGGCGCGGCGCTGCTTCCGAAGCAAGAGGAGGTGGCGGCGGCGCCGCCGCCGCCGCAGCATCCGCTTGAGGGG